GTGCAGCTTCCGTTCGGGATGCCACGCGGCTGTGCAACAACTTCCCAACGAACGCATTTCAATCGTGCAGCTTCCGTTCGGAATGCCGGGCGGCCTCCCAACAATTACCCAGCGAACGAATTTGAATTGTGCAGCTTCCGTTCGGGATGCCACGCGGCTGTCCAACAATTTCCCAGCGAACGCATTTCAATCGTGCAGCTTCCGTTCGGGATGCCACGCGGCTGTTCAAACATTTCCCAGCGGACGCATTCTAATCGTGCATCTTCAATTTGGGATGCCGCATTTCAATCGTGCAGCTTCCGTTCGGGATGCCACGCGGCTGTGCAACAATTTCCCAGCGAACTCATTTCAATCGTGCAGCTTTCGTTCGGGATGCCACGCGGCTGTCCAACAATTTCCCAGCGAAAGCGTTTCAATCGTGCAGTTTCCGTTCGGGATGCCACGCGGCTGCCCAACAATTTCCCAGCGAACGCATTTCAATCGTGCAGCTTCCGTTCGGGATGCCACACGGCTGCCCAACAATTGCCCAGCGAATGCATTTCAATCGTGCAGCTTCCGTTCGGGATGCCACGCGGCTGTGCAACAATTTCCCAGCGAACGCATTTCAATCGTGCAGCTTCCGTTCGGGATGCCACGCGGCGGTCCAACAATTTCCCAACGAACGCATTTCAATCGTGCAGCTTCCGTTCGGGATGCCACGCGGCTGTCCAACAATTTCCCAGCGAACGCATTTCAATCGTGCAGTTTCCGTTCGGGATGCCACGCGGCTGTGCAACAATTTCCCAGCAAACGCATTTCAATGGTGCAGCTTCCGTTCGGGATGCCATGCGGCTGTCCAACAATTTCCCAGCGAACGCATTTCAATGGTGCAGCTTCCGTTCGGGATGCCATGCGGCTGCCCAACAATTTCCCAGCGAACGCAGTTCAATCGTGCAGCTTCCGTTCGGGATGCCACGCAGCGGTGCAACAATTTCCGAGCGAACGCCCATTTCAATCGTGCAGCTTCCGTTCGGGATGCCAAGTGGCTGGCCAACACTTTTCCAGCGAACGCATTTCAGTCGTGCAGCTTCCGTTGTGGATGCCATGCGGTTGTCCAACAATGTCCCAGCGAACGCATTTTAATCGTGCAGCTTGCGTTCGGGATGCCGCGAGGTTGTCCAACAATTTCCCAGCAAACGCATTTCAATCGTGCAGCTTCCGTTCGGGATGCCGCGCGGCTGTCCAACAATTTCCCCGCAAACGCATTTCAATCGTGCAGCCTTCGTTTAGGATAGTTCAGGATGCCACGCGGCTGTGCATCAATGTCGGAGCAAACGCGATTGAAACGTGAAGCTTCCGTTTGTGGTGCCATGCGGCTGTGCAACAATTTCCCAGCGAACGCATTTCTATCGTGCAGCTTCCGTTCGGGATGCCACGCGGCTGGCCAACAATTTCCCAGCGAACGCATTTCAATGGTGCAGCTTCCGTTCGGGATGCGGCTGTCCAACAATTTCCCCGCGAACGCATTTCAATCGTGCAGCTTCCATTCGGGATGCCACGTGGCTGTCCAACAATTTCCCGGCGAACGCATTTCAATCATGCAGCTTCCGTTCGGGATGCCACGCGGTTGTCCAACAATTTCCCAGCGAACGCATTTTAATCGTGCAGCTTGCGTTCGGGATGCCGCGAGGTTGTCCAACAATTTCCCAGCAAACGCATTTCAATCGTGCAGCTTCCGTTCGGGATGCCGCGCGGCTGTCCAACAATTTCCCCGCAAACGCATTTCAATCGTGCAGCCTTCGTTTAGGATAGTTCAGGATGCCACGCGGCTGTGCATCAATGTCGGAGCAAACGCGATTGAAATGTGAAGTTTCCGTTTGTGGTGCCATGCGGCGGTGCAACAGTTTCCCAACGAACGCATTTCAATCGTGCAGCTTCCGTTTGGGATGCCACGCGGCTGCGCAACAATTTCCCAGCGAACACATTTCAATCGTGCAGCTTCCGTTTGGGATGGCGCGCGGCTGTGCAACAATTTGCCAGCGAACGCATTTCAATCGTGCAGCTTCCGTTTGGGATGCCATGCGGCTGTGCACCCAGCGAACTCATTTTTCTTGTGTAGCTTCAGTTTGGGATGCCACGCGGCGGTGCAACAATTTTCGAGCAAACACGATTGAAACGTGAAACTTCTGTTTGGGATGCCATGCGGCTGTTTATGTATGTCCCGGCACATGCATTTCAATCGTGCAGCTTCCGTTTGGAATGCCATGCACCTGTGCATCACTTTCCCAGTGAACGCGTTTCAATCGTGCAGCCGCCGTTTGGGATGCCACACGGCGGCGCAACAATTTCCCGGCGAACGCATTTCAATCGTGCAGCTTCCGTTCGGGATGCCACGCGGCTGTGCAACAGTTTCGGAGCAAGCGCGGTTGAAACGTGAAGCTTCTGTTTGGGATGGCACGCGGCGGTGCAACAATTTCCCAGCGAACGTATTTCAATCGTGCAGCTTCCGTTCGGGTTGCCGGCGGGCTGTCCAACAATTTCCCAGTGAACCTTGGTTTGGGATGCCATGTGGCTGTCCAACAATTACCCAGCGAACGAATTTGAATTGTGCAGCTTCCGTTCGGGATGCCACGCGGCTGTGCAACAATTAGCCAGCGAACGCATTTCAATCGTGCAGCTTCCGTTTGGGATGCCATGCGGCTGTGCACCCAGCGAAATCATTTTAGTTGTGCAGCTTCAGTTTGGGATGCCACGCGGCGGTGCAACAATTTTTGAGCAAACACGTTTGAAACGTGAAACTTCCGTTTGGGATGCCATGCGGCTGTTTATGTATGTCCCAGCACATGCATTTCAATCGTGCAGCTTCCGTTTGGGATGCCATGCGGCTGTGCAGCACTTTCCCATCGAACGCAATTTCATCGTGCAGCTGCCGTCTGGGATGCTACGCGGCAAAGCAACAATTTCCTAACGAACGCATTTCAATTGTGCAGTTTCCGTGTGGGGATGCCACGCGGCTGTGCAACGATTATCAACGTTTTCCCAGCGAAAGCATTTGAATCGTGTAGGTTCCGTTTGGCATGCCACGCGGCGGTGCAACAGTTTCCCAGAAGATGCATTTCAATCGTGCCACCCCCGTTTTGGACGCGACGCGGCTGTTCAATAATGTCCCAGCACATGCGTTTCAATCGCGCAGCTTCCGTTTGGAATGCCACGCGGCTGTGCAACTGTATCCCAGCAGATGCATTTCAATCCTGCAACCCTCGTTTTGGACGCGACGCGGCTGTTCAATAATGTCCCAGCACGTGCGTTTCAATCGCGCAGCTTCCGTTTGGAATGCCACGCGGCTGTGCAAAATTTTTCCAGCGAATGCGCAGCTCCCGTTTGGGATGCCACGCGGCTTTGCAACAGTTTCCCAGCGAACGCGTTTCCATCGTCCAGCTTCCGTTTGGGATGCTATGCGGCTGAGCAATAGTTTCCCAGCGAACGCATTTCAATTGTGCAGCTTCCGTTTGGCGATGCCACGCGGCTGCGCAACGATTTCCCAGCGAACGCATATCAATCGTGCAGCTTCCGTCGGCATGCCGTGTGGTTGAGCAATGTTTTCGAATTATCACATTTTCCCAGCGACGCGCGCATGTCAAACGTGTAGCTTCCGCTTTCGGGATGCCATGCAGCTATGCGAGCTCTTTCAACCGGCGCATGTCAGACATGCAGCTGCCGTTTGGGATGCTACGTGGTTGTGCGTGTTTGACCGTTGGCGCGCATCAAGTGCGCACAATCCGTTCGGGATGCCACACGGCTGTGCAATAATTACCGAGTGCGCGCTTTTCAAGTTGCCCAGTTCCGTTTGTGATGCAGCGCGCTTGCGCAAGAATTTCCCAACGGGCGCATTTCAATCGCAGCTTCCGTTTGGGATCAGTGATTTCCTAGCGGGCGCATTTCAATCGTGCAGCTCCCGTTTAGGATGCCACACGGCAGTGCAGTGATTTCATTGGGCACATCTCAAGCGCGTGCAGCTTCTGCTTGGGATGCCGCGCGGTTGTGCTTGGTCATATCAACAAAGCATTTTTCGTTTGAGATGTCACGCGATGTCATGCGGCTGCATGCGGCTGCGCAAGTCCCGACACATTTCAAAAATGCAGTTTCTGCTTGGGATGCCACAAGGCTGCGCAACGACTCGTCAGCGGGCATGAGTGTGCGAAGTCTGAGTCTGGGATGCCACGCGGCTGCGCCACAGTGTCTGCACGGGCGCATGCAGCTTTCGTTTGAGATGCCACGTGGCGTTTCAAACTGAAGCCAACTTCGTCCGGTTATTGTCCTGAGCACGCGCATGCGATGCCGGTTTTTTTCATTGCGATGCAACGGTGGCTGCCTTTGTTGGACGATGGTCGCGGCTGTTGTCGGTTGCCGCCGCAATGCCCTTTGCTACCAATGCTCTGTCCTTGTCACTGCCAGTCGCCATGACCGCCAATGTTGATGGCGAACTCTGCTCAGCGACGTCCTCGCTGACTCCTCTCAATCGCATCCCCTAGTTTCCGCTTTGCGCCGGTGGAGCTTCGGTTGCACTGTGGCCACGTGGATGGTTGCAAGCAGTAGTGACTTGTGGAAGATGCCGTATGTTGTCACCCAGCAAATTTCATAATGATGGCCCAGCAAGCGCATGCCTTACGTGCAGCTGCCGTGTGGGATGCCACGTGGTTGCGCAATAATTCACCAGTCACGAGTCGGCGCATTTGAGATGTGCAGTTTTGGTGTGGATGGCATGCGGTCGTGCAGCAGATTTTTCAGCGGGCGCATTTTACAAATGCAGCTTCCGTTTGGGATGCCATGCAGCTTTGCTATGATTTGCCATAAAGTGCAGCTTCCGTTTCGGATGCCACGCGCTGTGGAAAGAGTTTCCGATCGGACGCATTTCTGATGTGCAGCTTCGCTGAGGATGCTGCGAAGTTGTGCAACAGTTTCGCAGCGACAACGTTTGACATTGACAGGTGCAATGTCTGCGCCCAGCGCTGTAGCAGTAGATGTATGCGGGGAGGCCAAGACGTATGTAGGAAGGTGACCATCGTGCGACCGCTCATTTGTTTTGGTGCCGTGGGGTCGCTATAGAGGCCATCTCATGTGAGTAACTATAGGAGCCAACGTGTCTGGCAACTTGGTTAAGTATCGTGCAGGAACATGCCAGAGGAAAAAAGAAGCCGGACACGATGTCGCCTGTGCTGCCCTTGGTGGTGTATATGCGAGCTACAGAGCCCGTTTCAGTCAGCAAGAGCGTGAAGAATCACATGGCCACAGGTCGAAGCGAGACAAACCGCATCATTCCATTGGACGCGGAAAATCCTAGCTCTTCCAGGCCTACCGAGCAAGTTGCTCGTTTGGATTGCAAACTTAGCCGTCGAGGTATTGCACTTGGAGTTCAAAGGGAGTGCCGAACCGCACCTTCCCGCGCACGCTTGTTTACAAGCGTCACCCGTGCTGTTAAACACGAGCTGGCGGCTGGTGGTTCCGAGTTGATGCATGCTGGCTGGACAAACACAAACACTAATGGAACGACCACTTGACGGTAATACCGGAGACACACGTGTAGACTGCAAGACTCTAAAAACATTCCAAAACATTCGCGCTCAACAGTTAGTATTTGCATGCAAAACGCAGGCCCCAGAGCAGTCAGTTCCATGTTTGGAGGGACCCTTCTGCGTTCCGGGGAGATGTCACGTCGCTTGAATCTCTTCAGTCAGTACAGGCTTCGCTCTTCATGATCGTCGGCATTCTGAGACTTGCTTGAACAGGATCTGTCAGGGCTTCCCCAGCGTTGGGTCCTACGCAGTCTACAGGGACTGGGTTGCGTGCGTTTCACGCCCAGGACGACTAGCAGCTGCATCATACATGTGCAGCGTCGACTTTCCGGAGTTCTGCTCTCAGCGTCGCTTGCATGTTATGTCACCACAGTTTCACAACTGACAAATGAGATCTGTCGACGGTCAGGTCTTAGACCGCTGTGCGGGGTGGCTTTCAACGGATTGCCGACAACATGTTGCAAGTGGGAGCATGCGCATTGCTGTCTGGTTGGAAAGATCGCCATGGGATGTGGCGGCGACCTGCTGGTGCCTGAGTTGCACCCTGGCGGTCCACACTGTAAAGATCGAGTTGACCTTTCTCTAGGTTTTCCCGGTGTCCGCAGGTTGGAGTGTCGGATATGCGCTTTCGTCGCACAGTGGCAATCTCAAGCGCAAGGACTGGAAAGAACCTTGCAGTTCCTCGCAGACTTTACATGTCGTTCCCCAGGAGTATTCGTGCCAAGAACCTTGTTACCGAGCATGCGCTCAGTGGAAGCTCTGGTCTTCGATGCGCAGCCGCTGCGCAGCCCTGAGGCTTGTAATTTTTCACTCTCGTGGGCGATCATGTTCGGAATCGATGCGTTCTTGCCGAGCACCAAGAATCCGAAGACAGAGGTGTTTGCAGACCGGCTTCGCTTCAGTCGTAGCCATATTCAGGGTTTGGCTGCGGCAGTATCTTGAACATGCAAAAATGGCAGCAAGATCTTGGGCTCTCCAGCCTCTGAGGTGATCACCGTTTGCATAGTGACAGTTTGGGCATTTGCTGCCGCAGCCTGAGGTTTATGCAGCCCATACAGATTACAATTTGCATGGATGCTCCGTGCTGCAGATCGCCAGGCATAGCCAAGCCTCCACACTCTCCGGCATTTCAGCTGCGGCAACTCTGTGCAGATTTTGGCAAATGGTGGCGGCTGTAAAGCGCATGCTTTTGGCCTGGCTTGGAGTTGAGAGCCAGCAGACGCAGAGACCAGGCTCCCAGCCAGTCACGACACGTACTATATCATACGATGCATTTCATCGCGGCTGATGGGGTGGCCTTGGTGCTCGCGCATGACCCGGTCGAGGCGTAGCAGGGGCCAATCGTGTGTGGGCCACATTCGCAAGACATTCCAGCTGTTGTGCAGGTGCATGTTGCTTGATTGCCGCACCAGATAGGAGCAGAGCCCAGCCACATGGCCTAAAGCAGCTTTCGGTTCAGCTGTGGCCTCAATTCTGTACAGCAAGGCATCTCGACGTGTTCACCTGGCACAGACCAGATACGTCCGAGTATTTGAGAGCTTAGTCTGCGTCTTCTCGCCCTGAGGGCCTGAGCTCAGCATGAACGTCACCAGCCAACGCGGCTACTACTGCACCTCGGACTCCTCCAGGCTGCATGCCGCTGGCAAGCTCCCCACGCATCCATGGATGGACCGCATCTATATCTCCTTTGTTTGGAAGGGGACAGGATCTCGTGTTTGCACATGCATTTTCCTTTTTGATGCAGGCATCCTATCCAAGCGTTTGCAGAACGTGGATATGCGCAAATTTTGACAGCAACAGCATCAATCACGCACATCGCGCGAGATTGTCGGCCGCAGCAGCTCGGTTGCGTTAGACCAGATGCTAGCTCTGCCTAGTGGTATTGGTATGGACTCGGGAATCCCTGTCCCGCGCTTGTGGATTTTCGATTGGTCGCGCTTCTGCTACAGCACTGTGGATCCACAATTCATGCCTGTGTCACAGCTAACACAACTCTGCGCACTGTGCTGCAGAATGATGTCTCAAGGTGAGGAAAGACCGACTTTCTGCTGTGCTATTAACGGGACCATGTGCGATCAATGTTAAGGACCTATTTGAAGTAGGTGTCTGGAGGACAACGAGAAGTGAATCTTTCATGCAACCGGAACTCAATCTACATGAGCTTGATCTAGAGGACCGTTGACCACCACTGCGGCAGCTATCGTGACTTGATCAAGTGCGGACATTTCTTGCAGGAAGCACGTGCCCATCTTGGATGTCTTGATCGGGCTTTCAAAGGCATTTCACCCAGAGAGCACTCCCTCCTAACTTCGGAGACTGGCACGTAGCCGAGGCGACCTTTCCGCAACTGCACTTCGGCGCATGCCTCAGCCCGAAGCTCAGCCGCTTGTCTGTGAAGTTTCGGGCGAGTGCAGCCCTGCTTAGTGACCTCTTCGGAGGGCGGCTCGCGGGACTCACCTTGACACTCTCTCACAGCAAGCAGTCACAACACATTGCGATTGCTTGTTGCTTGGCATTGCTTGGTGTCATCAGCTTCACTGTGATGGGAAAGCACGACTGCAGGTGGGGGGCCTGCGCAACGGCGGGTATGCGCAAGTATGCGCGAGTATGTGCGAGTAAGTGCGAGTATATGCGCGAGTATGCACGAGTAGTGCCGGTTGTGTACGAGTAGCGCCGGGTATACGCGAGTATGCGCGAATATAATACTGTTAGTTATATGTCTATTTTTGTGTAGGATATCCTAAATTAGTATATGAGATCTGTCACCGACTCACGTTCACGTACACCTTGTGATCTTATTCGGTCTCCTGGCAACTTTGTTTCACACTCGCAGCTTGACTGCTCAAGACTTGGCTTGCCAAGGTCCAGGAAAAGGTCCGCTTGCGCTAGCGAGCGTAGGTGTTGCCCTTTCACTGTGTAGTCAACCTGACGGCTTTGTCCTCCAATCGTTCTCGTGCTTCTGCTCTTGCTCCTGCACTGCTACGATCTGCGGTCGTTTGCCCACAGCTTAGTGACCGAGAGTTAAGTGGATACGTCTGCTCTTCAAAGGGTATCAGCCGTAGGACCTCTGCATCCGATTGTGGATTGCTGCTGTGCTACTACCGAGTGAAGCCAGTCGCATAGGATGTCGTGGAGCCCGATGGGCTAATGCTTCGCTGCTTGCTTTGCCTGCTGAGGACCATCAGAGTGCTTTGCTGCATGCGCCGTGAGCATCAACAGCATATCGCAGGTCGCGCTCACAAGACCGCCTCTGAGCTTCTGATCGATCGACCCCGTCGCCGCATGAACATACTCAGCTCTCTGACATCAGCGGTCATGATGCTGACATTCCCCGGCCCGCTGATTTGCTGCCTGTCCCCGGATCGCTTGTTTGCCGATGAGCATGCATATCGTATCATCGGCGAGGTTCCGAAGCAAGTTTCGGTGATGTTCCGAGGCAGGTTCCGGCAGGTTCCGGAGGTTCCGGAGGCAGGTTCCGGCAGGTTCCGGGGAGGTTCCGGGCAGGTTCCGGCGAGGTTCCAAAGACAGTTCCGGTGATGCAGGGCAAGTTCCGGGGCAGGTTCCGGCAGGTTCCGGGGAGGTTCCGGGCAGGTTCCGGCGAGGTTCCGAAGCAAGTTCCGGTGATGTTGCGGGGGAAGGTCGGGGCAGGTTCCGGCAGATTCCGGAGCGGTTCCGGGCAGGTTTCGGTGAGGTTCCGAAGCAGGTTCCGGTGATGTTGCGGGGCAAGTTCCGGTAGAGCTTCCGGCAGGTTCCGGCAGGTTCCGGAGCGCTGCCGAAAATTCTGCTGCACATGCTTTACTTTCGTCTCCAACAGCCCCAATACATTGTCCGAGATTTGAAAACCGCATTTTACAGCTTTCTCAGCCTTGCTAATGCCCCTAGCTCCGAAGCTTCAGACCGAGCCCAAATGAATTTCGCGAGGCCTGCTAAACGCACTTGGCCTGCGTGGCAGCAGTGCTCAACCTCCATGCCGTCGCTAAACCCGAAAATCATGCTGCACACGCTTTACTTTGGTATCCAGCAGCCCCAAATGCATTGTCCAAGGTTTGAAAACCGCATTTTACAGCTTTCCTAGCCTTGCTAATGCCCTTCCTGGTCCCAGTCCCGGGCTGTAATTCAGCGCCCGAAGCTTCAAAGCGAGCCCAGATGCATTTTCCGATGCCCGGTAAACGCATTTGGCCTGCGTTGCAGCAGATCTGGACTTGAATGCCGTCCCTGAGTTTGAAAATCCTAGTGCGCACGCTATACTTTGCTTTCCAACAGCCCCAAATGCATTGTCCAAGCCTTGGAAACCACATTTTACAACTTTCTCAGCCTTGCTAATGCCCCTCCTGGCCCCAGTCCCGGGCTGTAATTCACCTCCGGAAGCTTCAAATCGAGCCCAAATGCACTTCCCGAAGCCTTGTAATGCATTTGGCCTGCGTTGCAGCAGTGCTCAACCTCAATGCCGTCGCTAAACCCGAAAATGCTGCTGCACACGCTTTGCTTCGGTCTCCAACGGCCCCTAAAGCATTGTCCAAGCCTTGAGAAGCGCATTTTGCAGCTTTCTCAGCCTTGCTAATGCCCCTCCTGCTCCCAGTCCCGGGCTGTAATTCAGCTCCGAAGCTTCAGACCGAGCCTGGTGACGACAGGATGGCCGACAGACCTGCAGCCACCACAACGCCACTATATGCTGGGATGGATGCTAGCACAGCTTCCAGAGGCCCTCACCTTTCTGAGAAACCGTGGGATCTTGCGAGAAGGGGATGACCACACCGCCATGGAGCCGGAGGTGTGGTTGAATGTTCTGCAAGTTGATCCAACCGCGATTCCGCAGTCTCACGGCTTCTTTTCGGCCATGACCATGCTCACGTTCAAGGCCTGGAACCTTAGGTCAGCTCCGACCGCACCCGGGCGGGGAAACACGTAAGGGTGTCCCCTTGCGCGCCCCAGTGGCAGCGCAAATTAGAGGCCCCCTGCGTGTCGTCATTGCGGTAATTAATGCACATGAGGATTGTCGAGGCCAGCGCTTGATTATCCTCTGGAAGTCTTTGACCGTAATGGCTCCGACAGACTCGCCGGATTTTAATCCCGACCACACCGCCTTTGCTCGCTTGTCTTACGAGGAGCAATGGGAGCTTTTGAAGGTCGCCTGGAAGTCTCGGCAGATTTTGCACGGATCATGCAAGCCCCGGCCACAACACTTGCGGTCAATGGTGAGAACGGCTCGAATGAGTCGCTTTGGAATGAGAAGTGGAATGAGGTGATTTTGGGGCCACAGCTTGAGATGGATCAACTGGAGTCTCAGGCTTACACCCAGGCCAAGACAGAAGCCAGGGCCGGAGGCCGTGGCACAATGTACGGGGGCGGTCGAAAGCACTGGTCCTCGACCTTGCACCACAACTCGCGTTTATCTCCGTATCCCCTCAGCATTGAAATCAATGCTGTGGACCACATCGCCTACGTGTGGGACGACAGGAAACCCACAGGAAAAGGTGGGAGATGTGAAAGCTTGCATATGGTGGCAAGCCCGTGGTCACAGGAGACGTGAACATGGGTGATGACATGGGTTTGGATCCCTTTGTTAAGGCAGCAGCACCTTCGGTGCAATCCGTTGCCAAAGGCGCAAAAACAAATCCTGATGGGCTTCTACGTGCACGGACCGCACCGCTCGCTTTTGTGTGTGTGTGTGTGTGCTTTTCGACCGTGTTTTTTCAGGGTTTCTAGGAACACAGGAGAGCACGCCGCAGCGGCTTACAATTCAGGATGCACATGGAGCCCCTTTGAAATTTTCTGAAGCTCCGGAGCTGCGCCTGGACCACACCGCCGTAGGAGCGGTCTTTCGCAGGGTTCCCGCAAAGAGCCTCTCGAGAGCCAGTGAGGGTTTCAGCAGGGTACTTCAAAGACACCGCAACAAGCTTCAACACATTCTCAATGGCAACACAGTCCTTAGCTTAGACCAGCTTCTTCCCCTGGCGTCACACCGCCTGTCATCCAGAGGTTGTCGGAGTT